GAATTTTTTTATTCTTTTGGTATTTTTTTTATGGCACTCCCTTTATGAAACTTCTTTTACTTTTTGATGTAGTTTCACTGATCTTTTGATACCCTTCTCATAGAAATTGGAAGTAGTACCTGATATCCCATAAGTATTTATCTGGTAATCATAAGAATGAGTAAAATCTTCAACTAGGCAGATTTTTTTTAGACCATAAAAATGAGCGATCAGATTCGGTGTGGACTTCACCAAAAATCCCAAAAATGTCGTCATCATCTGGAACCAACGAATGCTTTTCGGATGATACATTCAAGCTGCGGAGGAAGGATCTTGAGTTCGATGAATTCATGCAACGCGATGGATCTTTATGCTCAGAAAGTATATCTTCATTACGCTGTAGTTTGGTTTTGATTAACATTATAGTGACAAATGCTAGCGCCGTGAACTGAGAATAATACTCAAAGGGAGGGGAACCGCTGTTTATGCACAAGCAGTTTTATGATGGATCGGGCAAGGAAAAACGAATTTTGAAGTTATCTGAGTTCGATGTGTGACTGAATTTCAGTAACATTTTTTGAAACAAATCAATTTTTGTCAGATGCACTTCACTGCGTAGTTTTTTCGGCTATACAGATGGTAACTTTTCTAGTTGCTTTGGCAGTGCTGTTTCTGCTAGTGGCCAGTCTACTGACAACTCTTACGTTTTTTCCACTTCTTGAAAGGGTGTTGCCTTTAATGCATATTGAACATTGCTATTTGATTTTGAACGTTATGACTCCCAGACCATGGTATTGTTACCACAGTCGTCGTACTGACGAGGTCCAACTGTGGTAGCGGTAAGAAATGTATACGACTTAATGGACCGAAACATTTCTTACCTAATTTAATACTTCTTTTTCCCATCCTTCCTTTCTTACCTTTTCCATCATCCTTTCTTATATTTTCCACCATCATTCTTACATTTTTCTTTTAACCTTAAAAAGATAGATTATCGGCTGGGAGAATTCACAAATATAAAACATACAATTTTACATTTTTTTACCTTTTCGTGTACATATGGCGATTAATATCTATATTAGAACAATTAAATAATTGACCCGTCATTTGCACTTCCGTTCAGCCGGACAGATTTGTACTGGTCAGTGGATGACTGTTGAAAATAAGTTTTTCGTGGATCGAAAGAAATGGTTATGCAATTTTGATATCCTGCTATTTTTGCACTTTTCTGCAGAAACAGTTCCTTTTTCTTTGCGAACAGTTATTAGAGAAATGTCCATGCTTGCTCCCTGGATCAGTGTTGATAATAAAAGCACAAAAGTTCCCCTATGCCGAAACAAAAACTGTTTATTGTACTTTTGCAGGTGATAATCAGCAAGCAAGGGTGCCTCAAAATGAAGCGCTAAACGAATCCAGGTAATTTTTTGCCCATGGCAATGAGGTGTCAAACGCTTATGTCCAGCTGGGTTCCACTGACCAATACGTTATCACAATTGGGATAACTCAGTGCTGCAACCATTCAGCATTAAGCAACGAAAATACTAGCAACACAATCCAACTGCCTGTTTTCTCAGGCCCAAGATGCTTAAGATCAGGACCAACACACTTTGTAATGACATGCACATTATAGTTTTTTCAATGGACGCATGCAGAAATGTGTAAATAAATATAAATTAATAGGATTATGTAGCAGTAAAGTCAAAGAAACACACGTGCAGGAATAATAAGATGAAAATGATTTTTGTCTGCTGTTTTAGTAAAAAATCAACGTCCCGAATTAGCACCCTACCTCAGCTCATCAATTGGCTGTTGCATTACTGATTAGAAAGCGTTTTAGCGCTCGAAAAAGCTTGTTTTCACTTCGCTGCGAATTTTTACAAGTCTTTATCAAAAATTAGTGCTCTTCGATAGTCAGCTGACCTGTCACGAAGTTTCGCTGACACTCTGCATTTACGTGCATTGAAGTGTTGTTGTAAAACGTATTTTCAGAACAAAAATAGATTTGGTGTTGGATATGAAACTGAAAATTTCGGACAAACAAGTCAAATGTGGAGCCAGTGCAAAGTAAGTCCTTTGAATGAGCATATATATGATTTTAAAAAAAGTAAATCAGTTCTGTTTCAAACCGCTTTTTTTGATTTATTTGGCTAAGAACAAACAGTCAGCTCGAGATCATTAGTTCAGGAAGTGGAAAAAAAATTCGTGCACAGAGCTAAGCAGCAGAAATTGATCAGAACATACTCATTCATGGTTTCACAGGTCTTTTCTAAAGCGAAATAAGTAGTGATTGCTTCACTTCTGAATTTAGCATTGCTCCCAACATCTGTCCTTAGAAGTGAATATGGATTACCACGCTCACGGAGGAAGGGAAATTAGCAATGATCAAGCAGATCGTGTAGGCTTTAGCAAGTTGTCGTAAATCTCCGATGGAATATTCAGCCTGGAGTGAGCGTGAGTTAACAAAATAGTGCACACCAGGGAGAAGGGCAGAGCTAGTAAATTGCGAAAATGAGACAAAATGGATTATCAAAAAAATGCAGGAAAAGCCAGCAATGCACTGGAAGGACCCGCTTGAACGGCTATATGGAATTATCTGAAAGAAGTTGGCAGCTATGTATTTGTAAATTGCAGCTTGTACAGTAATGGTTCCATTGCGTTGGCAGGCAAAAGGAACTGCTCCCAGTGTGTTTCCAAAAAATTTTTTTCTTAAAAAAAATAAATGTATAGTTTCTGCCTGTTAAAAATTTTTTTAGACTCGGTGATGAAACAATTGTAGTCACGTGTGCAGGCAACTATGGAGACGTAGAATCGATTCTGAAATGGACTGTTGACCACAAGGTAACCACTGTTCGTATCATGTTGTAAAAAGTTAATATCCTTCTCGTATTCATGCTATGGGACGGGCGCATTCAAAAGTATCCTGAGAATAGCAAGTACCAACAGCAACTATCTGCTAGAAAAGTTGCCAATGGCTTCCTCATTCGAGGGCTAC